GTGAACTGACGCAGGGAAACGCAGGCTCAAGTATGGTGTAACAATATAATTTATTAAGGGTTATACACAAATATAATGCACAATATAACAAAACCAAACCTCCAACTGATAACGGAATGTACACAGACAAGAGCAGTCAGGGCTGGTGAGGTGGAGTGGTCAGGCAGGCCAGGTCAGGAATCATCGGGCAGACAAGACACAAAGGAGTAGGCAGAGCGTAGTCAGATGGGCCAGGTCAGGAACAATCAGGCAGACAAGGTACCAAAGGAACAGGCTGGAGAGTGTTCAGGAATAACCGAGGTCAGGACAGGCAGGGTTCATTCAGGGTCAGGATCAAGCAGAATCAGGAATCAGGCAGGAAGCAGACAGGATGCAGGTACAGGGGCTCATGGGAAACATACACCAAGGCACTGACTGCAGGTCTGGCCATTCCTTAAATACACCTCCTGCAATCAGCCTCAGGTGATGGCTGATTGCAGGAGTGAGCTTCTGGTTGCAGAGAGCACCCGCTGGCCAGCCCTGGTACTGCAGCCCACAAGGCAGGTGAGTCCCACCACCATTGGCAAGTCCATTCCTGACAGGGTGAATAGCTCTACACCAAGTTCACTATATGAACCACTGTTGTATTCATACATGTTGATCATACCCCCCCCTCAATCTCCTCTTCTCAAGAGAGAATGCATTCAGTTCCTCTAATCTTTCCTCATAGCTGAGCTCCTCAATGCCTCTTATCAGTTTGGTTGTCCTTCTCTGTACTTTCTCCAGTTCCCCAATGTTCTTTTAGTGAATTGGTGCACAAAATTGAACTGCATATTCCAGATTAGGTCTTACTAATGATTTGTACAGGGGTAAAATTATGTCTCTCTCTCTGCAGTCTATACCTCTTTTAATACAAGAGAGGATTTTGCTCGCTTTATAAACCACAGCTTAGCATTGCATGCCATTATTAAGCTTGTGATCTACCAGAACCCCCAGATCCTTCTCCACCATTGATTCCCCCCATTGTACCCCCCTAGTATGTATGATGCATGCATATTCTTAGCCCCCAAGTGCATAACCTTACATTTGTCAACATTAAACCTCATTTACCACATAGTTGCCCAATTAAACAATGCATTGTGGTCGACTTTTAAATTGAAGACATCCTGTAAGGAGGTTATTCCACTGCACAGCATGGTGTCATCTGCAAAGACTGAAATGATATTTATTATCCCAGACCTTATATTTATAAATATATTAAAAAGTAAGGGTCCCAACACTGAACCTTGGGGTACACCACTGAGAACCCTAGACCATTCAGAGTATGAATCATTAACCACTACTCTCTAAATACGATCTTTTAGCCAGTTTTCTATCCATTTACATAAGGATTTTTCCAAGCCCGAAGACTTTACTTTACACATTAGCCATGTATGGGGAACTGTGTCAAGTGCTTTTGCAAAATCCAAGTATACCATGTCCACCGCCACCCCTCTGTCCAAGGTTTTGCTCGCCTCCTTGTAAAAAGAAATCAGATTTGTTTGACAACTTCTGTCTTTCATGAATCCATGCTGTCTGTTGCTTAAAATATTTTTTTCCATCTATGTTGTTTTTATTAAACTTTTCAGTATCCTCCCAACTATAGAAGTTAAATGAACAGGTCTATGATTACTTGGTAAAGATTTTGACCCTTTTTTAAATATTGGCACCACATTGGCCTTACGCCAATCCAGTGGTACTATGCCAGTCAATAAAGGGTCCCTAAAAATTAGAAAAAATGGCTTTGAAATGACAGAGCTAAATTCTTTAAGGACCCGTGGGTGTATGCCATTCGGTCCAGGTGCTTTATTCACCTTTATTATGATCCAGAAATATTTAGACAGATCAGTTGTAAGCCAATGTAGATCATCTGCGGCTGTGTCAATACCATGGCCATTATGTACAAGAGCTCAATTCTTTAACCACCTCCCGTCCCGGCCGCTGTATATAAACGACTGAACGGTGGCAGTGCAGGGTCGGGTGGCCGTTTATACACAGCCTCCCCGCCCCCTGCCTGTGCGCGCTCCCTAAGAGCACGGCGATCCGGTGCCCGCTGTGTCCTCCTTACACAGTGGAACACCAATCGTCGAACGGGACCTCTCTGCGAGGTCCCGATCATGTGATCACTGATTGGCCAATCAGTGATCACATGCAGAGTAGTTAGCAAGATGTCACTTCTGACATCATTGCTTACAACGTGTGAAATCTGTAAATGATCACAGAGGTCACATGGTACAAGGCTATTCACAACAGCCTTGTACCATGTGGCAAGCTGTGACCAATCAGAGCTCACACAGTAGTTCTCAATGGCTGCAAGAATGCAGCTAGAGAGGAGAAATGATTGCTTTTACAGCCTTTATGGATGTAAAAGCAATCAGTGTAAAAAAAAAAAAAAATCTTCATCACCCCCACTGCTAGGGTGACAGTATGTAAAAAAAAAAACAAAAAAAAAAAAACATAAATAAAAATACAAATAAAATACAAAAAAATAAAAAAAAAAGTTTCAAAATTATAATTTTTGGTTATAAACTAATTTGGGTTTTTTTTTTACAAAAAGAATACATTTTGGCTAAGATTTATGATGAAATATTATTTAATTGCAAAAAAAAAAACACTTTGTTTTCAAAATTTTTGGACTTTTTCATTTACATAGTAAAAAAAAAAAAAAAAATCCCAGTGGTGAATAAATACCACCAAAATAAAGCTTTATCTGTCTCAAAAAAATTCTAAAAAATTCAAATGGGTATAGTGTTGCATGACCGCGTAATTGTCATTCAAAGTGTGATAGCACTGAAAGCTGAAAATTGGCCTGGACAGGAAGGGGGTAAAAGTGTCCAGACTGGAAGTGGTTAAGGCCCCGTGGGTGTATGCCATCTGGTAGGTGATTTATTCACCTTTATTCTGTCTAAATATTTTTGGATCATATCAATTGTGAGCCAATGTGGATCATCTGGAGCTGTATCAATACCATGCCCATTATGGACAAGAGCTCTCCCATGCTCCTTTGTATGCACAGAGCTAAAAAAGGTGTTTAATAAATTTGCCTTCTCTTTGTTCCCAGTCACCCACTCTAGATTATTTTGTAAAGGACCTACATGCTCGGACCAGACCTTTTTTACTATTAATATATTTTGAAGAATTTTGGGGTTTGTCCTGCTATCTTTTGCAATCTCTCATTTTTGTTTTCAAATTTTGCGGCCTTGATTTCCTTTTTAAATATTTATTTATTTCAGGTACTTGTATAGCACCATCAATTTACGCAGTGCTTTACATATATATATATATATATTGTACATTCACATCAGTCCCTAACCCTCAAGGGGCGTACAAGCTAAGGTCCCTAACTCACATTCATACATGCACATACTAGGGGCAATTTAGACAGGATCCAATTCACCTACCAGCATGTCTTTGGAGTATGGGAGGAAACCGGAGTACCCGGAGGAAACCCACGCAGGCACAGGGAGAACATGGAAGCAACATGCAGGTGGTGCCGTGGTTGGGAGTCAAACCAACCATCCTAGTACTGCCAGGCAGAAGTGCTAACCATTTAGCCACTGTGCTACCCATATTCTGTTATATTCTTTGTAATGTTTAAACGATGATAACATTCCTTCTTTTTTATATTTAATAAAAGCTCTTTTGTTATCCATAGCTTTTTTAACTTTGATTTTTAGCCTTTTGAACTTGTTGCCCATGGGAATTTATTTAGCAGTGTGTTCGCATACAGTCTTTTTGAAGAATTCCCATTTCTGTGTTGTGTTCATCGATGCCAATATTCCTCCCCAGTCTAAGTCTTGGGGAGTAGCTCTCAGCCTTGGAAAATTAAAATTGAGCATTTTTTAATTTTCCTGTATGTGCTTGCTGTTTACTGCTAACAATAAATTAAATCATATTATGGTCACTGCTACACAGATGTTCTTTTATATGGACATTCGTAATAAGCTCTGCATGGTTTGAGATTACCAGGTCCAGCAGAGCATCATTCCTAGTAGGGGCCTCTATGAACTGTACCATAAAATTGTCCTGCAGTTGGTTTATAAATTTTTGCCCTTTAACTGTCCCTGCAGTACCATTACTCCAGTCAATTTCCGGTTAGTTCAAACCGGAACTCTCCACCTTCTCATTAACACTGGGAGGCCTATAACAAACTCCAATGATTACCTTTGTAGTATGCACCCCCATGTGCAAGTTCCACCCATAATACTTCAGCCTCACCGTACTCTCTATCAACAAGGTCCTCTTTCACACTCGCTCTGAGATCACTTCTCACATAGAGACAGACACCTCCACCTTTCCTATTTACCCTGTCTCTCCGAAAGAGAATATAGCCAGGAATATTAATGGCCCAGTCATGTGAAGAAGGAAGCCAAGTTTCAGAAATACCAATTAAATCATAGTTCCCTTCATGCACCAAAGCTTCCAACTCACCTATTTTGCTTGGTAGACTTCTGGCATTGGTGACAAACACTTTAATTCATTGACACCTTGTGCACACGTATTTTGCATATTTTTTATTTTCATACAAATGGTACCAATTCCAATGGTTGTTTGTTACATGGGAACCTTCTTATCATCTGCCATAGCCCTCCCCCCATCTTTCCCCATTTTACCCATCAATAAGTACTGACCCCTGTCTGATCTGTCTACCTTGTTATAATCTAATTCTCCTTTCCCCCTCGATCCTAGTTTAAATATTCCTCCAGCCTTCCCATAAACCTCTCTTCCAGTACAGCAGGCCCCCTTCCATTTTGGTGCAAACCATCTCTAGCATATAGGTTGCACCCCAATGAAAAGTCAGCCCAGTTCTCTAGAAAACAAAATCCTTCCCTCTTACACCAGGTCTTTAACCGCCTCCCACCCACCCTATAGTCCAATGACGGACGCAAGGCGGGTCTCTCGTTCTGGGAGGACGTCATATGACGTCCTCCCATTCTGACCGCGCATGCTCGGCTCCGGGAGCACGCAGCACTGCGATCGGCGATGCGCTGTGTCCCTCGGACACAGCGGATCACCGATCCATGGAAAGAGCCGAAGATGTCGGCTCGGTCATGTGATCAGCTGTGCCCAATCACAGCTGATCACATGTAAACAGGGAAATGCAGGTCATCAGCATTTCTCTCCTCACGATCGGTCACGCTGACAGCTCGTGAGGAGAGCCGGTAATCGGCATTCCTCGGAGGGGACATGTGCACTGATGATCAGTGTGCTCTGATGATCAGTGTAGCCCCAGCAGTGCCACCTGTCAGTGTCCATCAGTGCCAGCTCTCAGTGCTCATCCATGCCACCTGCCAGTGCCCATCAGTGCCACATCAATGCCACATATCAGTGCCTACCAGTGCACATCAATGCCACTTATCAGTGCCCATCTGAGCTGCCTTTCAGTGTCACCCGTCAGTGCCAGTCAGTGCCATATAACAATGCCAATCAGTGCCACCTATCAGCGCTGCAAATCAGTGCTGCCAATCAGTGCCAGTCAGTGCCGCCTATCAGTGCCTGTCAGTGCTGCCAATCAGCGCCACCTAACAGTGCCAGTCAGTGCCGACTATCAGTCCTGCCCTTCAGTGCCCATCAGTGATGCCTGTCAGTGCCGACTATCAGTGCTGCCCTTCAGTGCCCATCAGTGATGCCTGTCAATGCCTATCAGTGCCACCTGCCAGTGTCTCCTCAGTGCCCATTAGTGCCACCTATCAGTGCCCATCACTGCATCTTCATTAGCGCACATCAGTGAAGGAGAAAAATCACTTATTTACAAAATGTTATAACAAAAACTAAGAAAAAAACATTTTTTTTTTCAAAATTAAGAAAAAATAAAAAACCCAGAGGTGATTAACTACCACCAAAATAAAGCTCTATCTGTCACAAAAAAAAATATAAAAATGTCATATGGGTACAGTGTTGCATGACCACCCAATTGTCATTCAAAGTGTGACAGTGCTGAAAGCTGGAAATTGGCCTGGGCAGGAAGGGGGTATAAGTGCCCTGTAGGCTAGTGGTTAAAACCCCTTGCTTTAATGTGAACTGTTAGACAGGGTAATTTAGTTTGTTGCAGGCTGGTAAGTGAGCTGGGAATTTTTGTTTGTTGTCTTTTAACAGGTGTTGCCCTTCCATGTGTTCCTTGCTGCAAAAGCCAGCTATAGATTGGGGTTGCCATTTGTTTGTACTCTTCCCCACAACCCTGGCCTGATTGTTGTGGAAATCTGCAGGTGGAGGGCTTAACGCAATCTGGAATCCTTTTAAGGGGCCACCAGAAATCAAGCCCACTCCATATCAATAAGTAAAGTTTACATTTTACCCCTATTCATTCACCAAAAAAAATTAAATAGATAAACACACTGTCTGTTGGAATACAATGTTCGGTACTTGTCTGTTATTCACCAGATTTATTTATTTATATATATATTTTTGTATATGTTTTATTAAAATATCTAAAAAATATATTTATATATATATATATATATATATATATATATATATATCCGGTGAATTAACAGACAAGTACCCAATGTTCATGTATTTTGTGCAGCTACTGCTGTACATCAGTTTCACTATAATTATTAAGTAGAGATATATATTTTTCAATCAGTAAATGGCAGTGTTTTTTATGTTTGTAGCTGCATCTATGTTTAGACTCAGTCTTTTCTCTATAAAAAAAAAAAGGTTCCTGTTTGCAGAGAAGCAGCAGATACACACATGTGGATCTGTTCTGTAGGGCTATATACAATATCTCTGACACTGCCACACTTTGATAGATAATTTATTTTTTAAAAAGTTCCACAATGTAAATCTATCAGTCTCGTCTTCCAGCAATGCAGATCCTTGTCAGTAATGATAAATGATTGTGTCCCACCTGCCGAAAGAAAAAACATACCAACCTGCAAGTGACTGCTCACCAGGAATGACAGCCCCTGGGCCTAGCAGTGGAATGTAAACAAACAGGGTATCCAAGGTGATATCATTGACCAAATATGACCAAATCCATATTTGGTTAATGATGTCAAGTGGTTTACATGACCCTTTTTTAGGTTCTGCTGTTAGCTAGGAAACTGTCATTCATGGTGTGTGGTCATGGAGGGAGTGCTTTTTTTCTTTCAATGCATCATCCAGGAATGGACAAGGGACTGCTATAGCATGTAGGGGAAGGGGTGCCAACATGTTTTTTTTCTTGGGGTCCTCCTCAAAATCTACATCAGACCCTCATTAAGGATAAGTTTCTGGTATAGATATTTGGGGGGAAACCCACAGCATTTTCTTTTTGCATCTATACCAAATCCTCATCTAGGATAAGAATTAAAAATTAAAGGAATCCCTGGTCATTTTTTTACAAACAGAAGGCTTTCATTTAGTGGCAATTGAAACTCTATTTTTTCCTTTGCTCAACCGACCTCAGGAGTCCAATGTTGAGAAATGGCCTCAGCCACCATACTGGCCACGCCGCACTGATGCGTTTAACCCAACCCACCGGGGCTTGGTCACAGTGACCTCTGTTCTGTGACCAAGCCCCAGTGGGTGAGGTGAACCACATCAGTGGGCGTGGCCAGTACGGTGGCTGAGGCCATTCCTCAACATGGGACTCCTGTGGTCAGTTGAGCAGAATCCATCTATTCACTTGTATTGGCTGACACTGGAATCACTTTGACTCATGCTCCCCTCTTCTCACTTGCTGGTGGGGTGGTTCTCCTTCCATCCATAGCTTGGAGCGGTGCCATAAGGTATAATTTTCACTATGTATTTTTTCTTTGTAATGTTTTTTCTGTAGAAGGCTGTATGTATGATAGCATTCCCCAAGCATGTTTTCCTGACTAAATCCTTGCCAGCATTTGGATATTTAGACTCCACCCTCACTCCTACACCATAGGACTTCTCTTTCATAAACGTAAAGGTTGATCCAGTCCACATATTCCTATTTTGCCCTCCTCACCTCATAGGACCAAACAAGATGTGCAAGCAGTTCAAATTACCTGGCTGCAATAAACTTGTGCAATAAACCTATTGCTCCCCACGTGCAGACCCCGTTTTATGGACCCTTAAATAACATTTTTGTGGGGGTGTTGGGGCTGTCATTTTGGATTGCTGTCTTGCTTAAATGCAGGTTTGATCCCAAGGGTGATACCATGACTATACAACCAGGGGTGGTCTGACAACTCATGGGGCCCCTGCGTCCACACCCACACTCAAACCACACTCAAAAAAAGCCCGTGAAAGGTATATACATGCAAGAGAGTTGTATACAGGGGCGGACTGACCATTGGGGCACTCGGGCACTGCCTAAGGGCCTGAGGTCATCTCATGGGGCCCCCTACTGACCTCGGGCCCTCAGGCAGTGCCCGAGTGCTCGAATGGTCAGTCCTCCCCTGTATACAACTCTCTTGCATGTATATTCTGCCTTAGTTCTTTTTATTGTCTTTGAGCATGCAGGCACATGTAGTTATACTTCTGTGGATCTAATGGAACCCCTTATGGCATCTGGAATACTTTCTGAATTCCACCACCATTGTGGGTGGAATGAAGGCACCTGCCTGGACACATGCAGGCTTTTGAACGTGTAGCTCCACGTTTGTTAAAAAGAAAAAATATTATTATTATTATTATACAGGAGTTATATAGTGCCAATAGTTTGCTCAGCGCTTTACATTATAATGGGAGACAATACACGAGACAGTACAGTACCAATATGATTCAATACACGAGGCGTTCGAGGGCCCTGCTCCTTGGAGCTTACAATCTAGGAGGGAGGGGATAGTGGTACAGGAGGAAATAGCTGTGGGGGATGGAGTAGTAGGAAGAGTGGAGGAGTTCAGTAATTAGCTGAGGGCGGGGTAGGCTCCCCTGAAGAGATAGGTTTTCATATATGATGTTGACAATTCCCTTGAGTGATCCATGTACTTTGCAGTATATTACAAAACTTGCTGCAGATTCCTACGTTTTTGTTTCTGTTCTGAACACATAACTGTTTGTTTCATCATGTCCTGTTTTCTGTATGGCAGGGTCTGATTCATCGACCACCTGGTGGAATCTCAGTACTCTGATGTGGGAACCTGCAGGTGTTGGCATCCCTTTAGCTGTGGTTAACCCTTTGGGGTTTCTTACTAAACAAATTTCCATTGCATTGCATTTTTTGGACTGCTTTATGAAACATCAGTGACTGTAGTTTGAATCAGATAGGTAATGTTTGGATGGCTTGAGTAACATGGATTTTATGTTAAATTATTTTTCTTTGGAGTTCTTCTTTAACCACTTGCCACCTGCTCACAATACATTTACTGCCAGCGGGCGGCACAGCAACATATCCTTATGTTGCGGTGAATCCACTGCTAACCTTTTGCTATGATTGGCTACAGCACAAGTTTATCAGCAGGTTTCAGCCAATGATTTTGGCCATGAACCTGCTGATCAGCTGTAGCCAATCACAGCACAGCCCAGTGTCTGTTTGTAAACAGAACACATGATCTGGCCAGTTCTTCCTCCCAGAGCTCTTTTCATTCAGGGAGAGAAGAAATACAGATCATTTGTGAGTAAAACCAACACATATACACTTGCATACATTTGTTAGGCACATTTAACTCTTTGACAGTCCTCCAGTTAATCGTTTGATTGCCCTGTCACCGGTGTCATTAGTACAATGTACAATATTTATCACTGATCACTGTTAATGTGACCAGCGACATCAGAAAGCATCACAGTTAACTAGTTTCCCTCCCAGCCAGTCTCAGTTAGTGCCAGACTGTCCACACGCAGTAACACTAGAAGTCACTAATCACCGCCATTGCAAGTAAGGTGTCTGTACAGATCAGTATTTTGATCACAATCAGAACTATATTAGTGTCCCCAAAAATGCACTGTTGGAAGGATTAGCCCCAATCACTGCCAGCACCCCCCCCCCCCCCCAAAGGGCAGTGTCAGTACAATTTTTATCTATCAAAATATAACAATCTGCATAATCACAAATCGTGAATAGTGCAAAAATTATTTTTGTATGCCAAAAAATGTATTTAAAAGGATGCTCTGCTAAACACTAAATGTTTTTCACAACACCTGAAATTATAACAATGAACAGAATAGTGTAGCGCAACCACATAAAACAAACGTGAATAAATAAATTGTCCATCTATTCTCCGAGTGTAAAGCAAATGTCCCAAAAATTCCAAATCGTGTGAAACACTCTTCTGCATCTTTGTGTAAACACACCATTAATGCTTTAACCACCACCACACATACTGGCCGCTCACCTCAGTTTAACCACTTGCCCGCCTGAGGATTTACCCCCCTTCCTGACTAGGCCTTTTTTTGCTATACGGCTCTACACTATTTCAACTGGTAATTGCGTGGTCATGCAAAGCTGTACCCAAACGAAATTTATGTCCTTTTTTTCACACAAATAGAGCTTGCTTTCGGTGGTGTTTGATCACCTGTGTGCTTTTTATTCTTTGCGCTATAAACAAAAAAAGACTAAAAATTAAAAAATATATATATATTCGTATATATAAAATGTATTCTGCTACATGTTTTTGGTAAAAAAAATCCAATAAGTGTATATTGATTGCTTTGTGT